GTATCAGAGTCCCAGTGAGTCAGGTCAGAACTGGGAACACTGGTCTCTCCTCAGTGTCTCTGAGAGCGGAGTCTGGGAGCCCTGGGTGGCCTCACAGGTCACAGAGCCCACCTTCCTCCAGTGGTCTGCAGAGAGCCTCAGGGTGCTGCTCCAGCTGTAGTGGCCGTCCTTCAGCACCCCGGGGCTCCTGCTCTCCTCCCAGCTGCTGCTGCTGCTGCTGCTGCCGTCCACCTTCCAGGACAGACTCCAGTCTGAGGGGAAGCCCTTGTTGGCCAGACACATGAGCGTGGCCTTCCCCTGCTGCAGCTCCTCACTGGAGGGGGGCAGCACCGTCAGGGTGGGGACGACTCGACCCACTGCAGAGAGAGAAGCGTACAGCTTAAATGGAAATGCTCTGAAATGTTTCACTTCCCTCTCTGAGCTCAGTAACCATGGTGACTGACAGGCATCACTGCTGAACCATGACAACAGACAGGTTTCAGTACTAAAGATAAAAAGTTACAGTGGTATTTTGTTCCTCTGATGTTTTAAGTTTAAAGCCAAATAACAAAAAACTAATTACCTAACATTAAAAGGTTTTGATTGTTCAGTATCTTAACGTTTCATTCAAAATGAACATTGTGAACTACTGAATTACTCATTCAGCATGTTGGTTAAATATACTGTAATGTTTTAAGATATTATTTTGTGACATACAATGTGTGAACTTTTTTAATCTTTTAGAAACATCAAGAAAAAGCAACATGAAATATTTGGCCCAATATGTGGGCTGAAATTGATTTAACATTATTTAATATTTTTATCAGACTGAATACTTTTTAGGATTTTAGTCTGTTTGAGGACAAATGTTGTGCATTCAATAAGCTCAAGAATTATATTTAAATCCAATTATCATCTTAAATATTGCAGTATTGTTTCAGGTTATGAAATAAAACACAATAAATATAGAATGTGTTTTATTAAAGGAGTCAAATGTACTTACAGTTAACTTCCAGTCTGGTTCCTCCACCAAAAGTCCACCACAGTGATACAAACTCATTGAGCCGCCGTACAAAAACCTCTCACTGTAGAGAGACACGGCTCTCTGACTTTGACACAACAAACTCAGCAAACACATTCCCAGTTATGAGGTAAAGAGTTAGAAGAAACCATTTCACCCTTATTTCACTGTTACATTCTGCCAAAATTCTTTGACTGTTCTCTCTCATAGTAAAATTAAGACATAGAAGAAGATTTTCAGGTCAACTGTACAATACATGAAGCCTAATGAAAATATAAAAATGACCAGAGATACAGTAAATATTGTTTCTAAAATCCTACTTTGACTAGTTATAAAACTAAAGTCACTTTGTTGAAATTTTAGAGTGACAGTGATGTTGATATGTGTGGCACAAAATAACATAACATATATTCACTAAATATTCTGGAAGAAAATGTGTCCATCAAACTGAAAGCAAAGCCTCATACAAATGAGCACTGACACATTCCTAATCAATACTCTGATAAAGTGATTGATCCATTGATAAACAGCATCATGAGAGGAATCCAAGTCCCTGTTGGAGTCAGTCAGAGCATTTCCATAGAGAGCCACTTTGCATCAGCAGCACCATGCTCCAGTGCTCTGGGAGAGTTTATAGTCCTGAGAGTTGAACACTGGATGACTGACAGCTGTCCTTCATGACAACAGAAGACACAGAAATCCTCCTCATCAAAAACATGACTTTGATCTCCGTCCTCATCTGGACTCTCCTCTGCTGCTGCTTCACAGGTAAAGTCCAGAGAATCAAACTCCTCTCCTCTATGAACATCCGTCCCTCTGAAATGAAGCCCACAAAACCATGACGCTGCTTTATGTTTTTGTCTCTGTATCCTCAGAGTCCAGAGGCCAGGTCACAGTGACTCAGTCTGGAGCAGTGAGCTCTGCTCTGGGAGGCTCCGTCACCATCACATGTAGAACCAGTCAGACTGTTATCAATTCTGACTCTGTGGAATGGTATCAACATAGAGATGGAGAAACTCCTAAATTGCTCATTTACTGGTCAAAAAATCGAGCATCAGGGATTCCAAGTCGTTTTACAGGCAGTGGATCAAACACTGACTTCACTCTGACCATCAGTGGAGTCCAGACTGAAGATGCAGCAGTTTACTACTGTATAGGTCGACATAACATCAACAGTCAGTATTCGTTCACACAGTGAAAAAGCGTCGTACAAAAACCTCCCTCAGTCAGACTGAACAGAAACTGAACTGACTGCTGCAGCTGGAAGCTACTGCAGAGACTGATACACTTCACTGAGGACACACACACACACACACACACACACACACACACACACACACACACACACACACACACACACACACACACACACACACATTTCATAATTTAGATTTAAACACAATATACACTTACTGTATATGTAAAAGCAATACATACACAGTACAGAGAAACAAGGAATAGTCAACAAGAATTATAAACAGATGATGAATATTGTAATTGTGACAATTTTGCCACATCATATCATTCTGTACTTTATTCCATTTAGTGAAAAAAAGTGGTGGGATTTATCAATTCTTTGCAACAGGAAATAAAAGTTTATAACTGAAAAATGTTACCACAAACAACAGTGGAAAAAGTATAATTAAAAGCAGAGGACATGTTATCAGTTAGTAATTATATTTATTTTCCAAGGTTTTAGGCTCTAGCTGTCATTTGTTTGAGCACAGTATGACATTCGATAGTAGTGGTAAGCAACAGAGCCATTAGAAAAACCCAAAGCAGCAGTGTTTTATCTGCCTCATATTCAATCTGTTGCACCAAACAGTAACAACGTTGGTGAAAAGAAAATTTCCACCAGCTAGTGACCAAGTCAGGTTGTACTGACAGAGCAATCAGATGTAAAATGTATGACACAATCCCATCAACTGTTCATGAAACTGTGGTGGGTAATGCATCACTGTGAGCTAAAAGGATGACATGACTTATTCAATGAACTGATGCTTATTGATTGTGATGTTGTCAACTCATGTTAGTGAATCTGTATATGTATTGTGTATAACTTTATGCAGACGATATGCTGCTTTTTACATCTAATCCTTAAAATCCCCTTTGAAAAGGTTCTTTATTCATGCAGAGGTTTGAGGTAGTTTCTAGGAACAGCTTGAGCCCTCGTTGCATATGAACCCTCGTAAAATTCAGACATGAATGATGACATAATTGAGTGATACTGAATTGAAATTATCTAAACATATTACAAGGTTCAATAAAGCAGATAGAAGTGACAACAGAAGGACAACATTTTGCCAAGTCATGAGAGTATTCAAGATAATCTTGTAAAACAAAAATGTATACAGTTGCTGTTATTGTGATGCTGCATAGATGAATCTTTCTAATGTTTCTAAACATATATGATATAAGGCAAAGCTAATGATACGTAAGACATGATGCATGAATAATGATCTCATGGAGACTGTTGATTTGATAACATTTTAATTATTTTTAAATTTTCATACAATCAACTTAAAAACAAGCAAGAGAGAGAGAGAGAGAGAGATAGAGAGAGAGATAGATAGATAGATAGATAGATAGATAGATAGATAGATAGATAGATAGATAGATAGATAGATAGATAGATAGATAGATAGAGAGAGAGTCTTGCACAGTACATACTGAGAGCAGTATCAGAGTAAAACCAGTATCAGAGTCCCAGTGAGTCAGGTCAGGACTGGGAACACTGGTCTCTCCTCAGTGTCTCTGAGAGCGGAGTCTGGGAGCCCTGGGTGGCCTCACAGGTCACAGAGCCCACCTTCCTCCAGTGGTCTGCAGAGAGCCTCAGGGTGCTGCTCCAGCTGTAGTGGCCGTCCTTCAGCACCCCGGGGCTCCTGCTCTCCTCCCAGCTGCTGCTGCTGCTGCTGCTGCCGTCCACCTTCCAGGACAGACTCCAGTCTGAGGGGAAGCCCTTGTTGGCCAGACACATGAGCGTGGCCTTCCCCTGCTGCAGCTCCTCACTGGAGGGGGGCAGCACCGTCAGGGTGGGGACGACTCGACCCACTGCAGAGAGAGAGATTAATAAAGTTTATATGAGGTAAACTGAACTCCATCCTGTTGGTTGCAGCAGTTCTGTTGATCTTTCTTAGATTGCATGAAAATGCTTTTAAGTGTCTCACTTCCCTCTCTGAGCTCAGTAACCATGGCAACAGCCAGGCATCACTGCTGAACCATGACAACAGAAAGGTTTCAGTAGTAAACATAAAAAGTTAAAAATGGCATTTTATTCGACTAATAGATATATAAATGTTATCAGCAAAGTACAAATTCTGAGTTAAAAAATAATTTTAGAAAAATCTAAATGTAGGTTTAACATTGTTTTAAATATTCTTTAGGTGACCTAGAAGGTGTGTGTTTGCATTGCTCATTCAAAATGAACATTGTTAACTACTGAGTTACATATTTAAACTCATCAAATCAAACCTACTCTTATAGTATGTTCGTTAAAAATAACAGTGACTGTTTAAGTTTGAAATCCTGTGAAACAAATATTTAACAGTACAAGATTTGAGTGTAATTAATGACATAATGTGAGGCATTCAGTGAGCACTATAATATTGTTTAATTCCAATTATCAGCTAAAATATTACAGTAACTACAGTTTTGAAAGAACAGAATAAATGTAGGATTTGCGTTATTTAAGTAGTCAGATGTACTTACAGTTAACATCCAGTCTGGTTCCTCCACCGAACGTGTACCACAGTGATACAAACTCATTGAGCCGCCGTACAAAAACCTCTCACTGTAGAGAGACACGGCTCTCTGACTTTGACACAAACAAACTCAGCAAACACATTCCCAGTTTACCCAGTTTATGCAATCACTGATTTTAGTGTTTGAAATCAATTTACAAAATATTAATATATATTTAACCGTTTTTGTCTGAAATGTGAAACATGTACAAGTAAAACGAATTCCTCTTTCAGAAGACATTGAAATAAGATATACAAAAAAAACCCTGACAAATGTAAACAATTATCATGAGTAATGTTTATTTTACATTATAATAACTGATAATGTTGTTAAAATGTGTCCAACAGTGATGTTGATCTGTGTGCTAGTGAATTAGGGGGAATTCACTAAATATTCTGGAAGAAAATGTGTCCATCAAACTGAAAGCAAAGCCTCATACAAATGAGCACTGACACATTCCTAATCAATACTCTGATAAAGTGATTGATCCATTGATAAACAGCATCATGAGAGGAATCCAAGTCCCTGTTGGAGTCAGTCAGAGCATTTCCATAGAGAGCCACTTTGCATCAGCAGCACCATGCTCCAGTGCTCTGGGAGAGTTTATAGTCCTGAGAGTTGAACACTGGATGACTGACAGCTGTCCTTCATGACAACAGAAGACACAGAAATCCTCCTCATCAAAACATGACTTTGATCTCCGTCCTCATCTGGACTCTCCTCTGCTGCTGCTTCACAGGTAAAGTCCAGAGAATCAAACTCCTCTCCTCTATGAACATCCGTCCCTCTGAAATGAAGCCCACAAAACCATGACGCTGCTTTATGTTTTTGTCTCTGTATCCTCAGAGTCCAGAGGCCAGGTCACAGTGACTCAGTCTGGAGCAGTGAGCTCTGCTCTGGGAGGCTCCGCCACCATCACATGTAGGACCAGTCCGACTGTTATCAATTCTAACTCTGTGGAATGGTACCAACAGAGAGATGGAGAAACACCTAAACTGCTCATTTACTATGCTAGCACTCGAGTATCAGGGATTCCAGGTCGTTTTACAGGCAGTGGATCAAACTCTGACTTCACTCTGACCATCAGTGGAGTCCAGACTGAAGATGCAGCAGTTTACCACTGTATAGGTCGACATAACATCAACAGTCAGTATTCGTTCACACAGTGAAAAAGCGTCGTACAAAAACCTCCCTCAGTCAGACTGAACAGAAACTGAACTGACTGCTGCAGCTGGAAGCTACTGCAGAGACTGATACACTTCACTGAGGACACACACACACACACACACACACACACACACACACACACACACACACACACACACACACACACACACACACACACACACACACACACACACACACACACAGACACACACACACCTACACACACACACACACCTACACACACACACACACACACACACACCTACACACACACACACACACACACACACACACCTACACACACACACACACACACACACACACACACACACCTACACACCTACACACACACACACACACACACACACACACACACACTCAGACACACACACACTTAATTTCATGAGAAAAATAATACAGCTCCCCTGCAGTATACTGAATAAGTTGACACATATATATAGTTACACATTTATTATTCAAGGTTCATTCGAGTTGAATAGATACATAGTTGTTCTGAAACAGGTAAAAAAAAAAACATTTGCTAAAGAATCTTTCCTCTTTAGAAAGTTCATAAAATCTGCAAGAATTCTACAGAAACATCTTTCTATGGATGAAATGGATGCTATCAAACCCTCTGTGATGTGGCAAAGCACAAAACACTCGTTAGATTTTTAAATTCATGACAAAGACAAGGTTTTCTCCTGGACATGTCATCACATCTAATACCAGATATTGTAATGAGGGTGGCACAGAACAGACTTAAACACAGAAGCAGGACACACTGACAGATGAGTAAAGGTTCTTGTCAGCGTCAATTCAGTCACAAGCAGACGGCGACAGGGAAACAGGTAAGGGCTCAGGTAGGCAGACTGAACAAAGCTGGAAATGGCTGCATTACATGTAGGTGAGCCAGTCCCAGAGCTCTGGTTCTGTGCATGCTCACTCACTGAAAGGCCTTACTGGGACACTGAATGAAACTGAGCCAGTGTTAATGTTATTATTACACCTGTGATTTACCTGCTTTGATTAGTCAAACTGTCTACATTCTTACAAACTATATGTGGGAAAGGAAGAAAAAGAGAAAATGGTAGAAGACAATGTTCCCACTGATTGGTCATGAAGCACTTTTACCTTTGGGTTTCACAATGTGATATTACACTCATGCTCTATATGATAATATTCTCTTAATACTATGTTGTTATGAGCTATGACAGGACTTGGCTGATATCTTTCATTGTGTCATTGTTTATTGCAGTTGGTTATAATTACTTGTTGTAATGTCTCTACATTGTATCCCTTATCTTTAATTTCCATAAGGGCTTATCTGAGGGAAACAACAATGTTTTGCATTCAGACTAATTACTGGAATGTCTTCATATGTAAATAAGTCTTGTCCCATTCTGTGTTAAACCTTGTTGGTACATAACTGAACCAACTGATCCTTGTTTTATGTCTATGTTATTTCGTCTGACCTCAGTAATTGTATGTACGGTACTCAAATAAGAACATGAAATGCACCTTTAAGTTCAAAAGGCTTTAATCATTTAACAGAATAATATCCACCCTTCCTGCTTTATGGAAACCAGTTGCTGTTCTCAATCACAGCTCAAACCCATCATATTATAGATCATTTAAATAGTCAATGCTCTCAGCACTGAGGGGGAAACACCATGATATGTTGAGGACAGCTACAGTTCACTGACTCTGTGTGTTTGCATATGTGTCCTTCCTCTCTGCTCCCAGCCGTTAAGAGGCCAGTGTTGATCAGTGGCTGTCCAGGCCTTTCAGAGCCACTGACACGCCGGCAGCACAATGATAATGTCACTGACTCTACTGCTGGCCACCCTGGGGCTCCTTGTTCAGGGTGAGACTCTCTTCTGAAAACTTTGCTTCAGGATGCAACCAGGTTCACCACAATGATGTTCTGCTATGATGGAGAAACACTGAAACAAGCAGCATTTACCTTCTTCCATCTATTCTCCATGTTAAAGAAATGATACTCTTCTGTTTGGATGTTGATCATCTTTCTCCAAACTGGATTTGTCTCAATAACCCTTCTCCTCTTTTTCATGTTTTCCAGATTCATCAGGAGAAATCATTGTGACTCAGTCTCCTAAAGCTCAGTCTGTTGTTCCAGGACAGACTGTCTCTATCAGATGTAACGTTAGTCCAAGCACTAGTTACTGCTTCAACTGGTACCTTCAGAAACCTGGAGAATCTCCTAAACTCCTCATTTACTGTGGTTCAACCCGTCAGTCTGGAGTTTCAGATCGTTTCAGTGGGAGCGGATCTGGTAGTGATTACACTCTGACCATCAGTGGAGTCCAGACTGAAGATGCAGCAGTTTACTACTGTCAGGGTGAATTCTATATCAACAGTCAGTATGTGTTCAAACAGTGATACAACGTCGTACAAAAACCTCCCTCAGCTGGAGAGGAACTGATCTCAATCAACATTGTTTAACTTTCAACAAAAAAATATTTTTCATATTTTTCTTCAATATACTTTTTAGGAGTAATTTTTGTGCCATTCCTGATGAAAAAAAGAAGATTGCTGAAAATCAGAATAACAGCTGCATAATTTTAGCTCTTAAACATTATAGTCTGAGTAACATAAAAACATATACTCAGTGAATCTATAAAAAAAATTACAAATGTTTAGGAATGACAAAATTTATATTTTTTACATTTGCTTTTAAAAAAGTATTTTTTGTTGAAATCATTTGAGCTCTCAACAGAACAAAATGAATTGGTTTCATAAATAATGTATTATTATGAACACCGTTTATGAATCACAAACAATTTGAATCTCTTCTTGTTGATTAAATATTTTAAAAATTATGTGATACAGCACAGTTCAGTACAGAGTAGGACACTGAGAAATATTTCTTACATCATCACTTGATATGTTAAAATCCAGCTATCTGACCCTGAGACAACTCAGTGTGTTTGGAATAAAAGCAATATATACAAATATGAATATACAGTATTTAAGGATAAACTGACAAATTTGATCTGATGAATATATTTTTATTCTTTAATGGAACATCAGTATTACAGCAAGCAGTGAAAGATGACAATGTGTTAATTCTGCTGACTTTTCATGTCGAGTCCTTTGGTGAAGTTGTACTGTCTCATAGGAATATTATTGAGCTGAAAACACATTATTGTTCAAATATGTAATGAGAAAAGAAAAGGCAGAGAGCAGTAGCAGAGTAAAAC